ATTTGGGCTGATAAAGGAGATCCCTTAACACAAAAATCCACTTATTCCTTTCCCCTGCAAGGAGAGGTGTACGGCACGGACAGAGTAAGGAAGGAGCAAGAAAGACTGTTGAACTGCATATAGCAGCGTTGGCTTCAACGTATTATAAAAGTTAAATGTCTGGACCGTTTGAGGAATGACTCTGGGTACAGGAGATCTTGGTAGATGTCGTAATTAAGAAAATGGGATTGGCGCTGTTAGACTAACTGTTTGAGTATACACAATTTACTCCATCCTATGAGCTTCTCATGTGAGAGCCAAAACGTCTATCACAAAACAACGAAGCATGCGATATGGAGTAACAAGGCATAGACGGATCTGTTTTCAAAGAGGAATGTTTTCTTGTGGATGCAGCAACCGGCTCCATATAGCAAAGTGTTAAAAAGCTGTGGATGCAGAGGGCATCACAAACGAGAAACTTACTGCTTAATATGACGATGTCAATAAGCAACAAGAACAGCATCGGACTCACACGTACTCGTTACAAAAAGTTATACTAATGATGAGGTTCTATGGATCAAAACAATGGGAGCCTCATAGAGAATTAACATACGTAGATAAATTGTCAGTGTTAGTCAGACGTTGGCCTTGCACGAATAGACAGCAACAAAACCTACGGCTACTAGGATTCGAAGGAAAAGCCGCAATCGCCGACTCAGAAAGTACACAAAACAAATAGAAAGCAACAACAAATATATCCAATGTTCGCCAGGAATCAGCCTTTCAAACAACAAACTTCGTTGATGTACAACAAGAGCATACTATTCAAGAGATTGCAAGGGCAACTCCCATAGACACAACAGATATAAGAAATGCAGATACCTGCAATGCTGAACGGTCATCTGTTCTACAAACCTTTTGAGGCATTGTTCTTTGAGGATTGTTAAAACTAGGAGGATTTATACACAGGCGAAATGATTCGATTAAAAACTGCCTACCGATCAAACATGAAGCGGCATTCTTGAAAGCCGCCCTGGAAATTGTCCAACAGAGTCACTGTTTTTTTCGGCAGGATTATTTCTATTTCAGTGACAGGGAATACGGGAATGCTTGAACAAACTTTGGTCAAACGGAAATTCGTTAATTAGGCACTAGTCGGCGAACAAGTTAGTCTCATCACTGTCAGAGCTTTCTGCGTCTTTCAGTCAGAACAGGCGCCTAGAATCGTACAGGATTAATACTGACGGAAACAGGAAAATAGTTATGACTCTCACAATGTAGACCAAAGGGTCTGGAGTACTGTTTAATTGATGAGTGGCACTGACAGAATCGTCAGCAGGTATACTGAAGCACTTTATAAGTGATGGTCGGG